CGTTCGTACAGAACGTAATATATGTACTTGTGTGTATATGCACACGCGCACAATAACCCTGGCCGTTTGGGACGATTTTTTATTCAGACGCTTTTATCGGAATAACAATAACGAATAACAATATACCTCCGCGCGCTATTCGCTACGTACATCCATAAGTATACTATAGACCGGCACTCGGCGGCGTATAATTTTTATAATAATAATATCGCCGGTACGTGCACAGGTACGCTCGGAAGACGAATTCAAATCCGCTGAGCTTCTGCATAAAATATTTATTACAAATGCCCCAATGGTTTTCCTCCCCAACCCCCGTACTAGAACACGCCTGCCGTCACCGTACGAGTGCGGTTGTTAAGAGGATTTGCCCGCGCGCGCTAAACTCGGACGTCCGGGATTTCGGCCGAGAACGGATTTTCGATTTCGTTGAAAGGGTTTACACTTACCGTGCGGACGGAGTAAAAGTGGAAAATTCTTCGTGCTCGAGCGGTATGCACTCGCTCGTACCGCGTTGTACACATACAGAAGATCGTCGCGTGTATTACAATTGGTAAACGACTGTTGCCGCGCACTCGCAGCGTGATGGATTTCCGAACGCGATTTCCATTTACGCGTATACACTGATCAATGGAACAGTCGGCGGTAGCTTTCCACTCTCGTCCTCCGACGCGTTAATAACGAAACGCAATAAGAACCTATTTTCGCCGACACTGTGCACGTGTATATGTTTACGTGCACCGCGTGTAATCATTATTGTCGTTGGATCGAACCAACGAGTTCGCCGTGTTCGATTGATAATCATCGCTACACGTTCCTGAGACGTTGCACACGACCGTCCAATCGAAATGCGCTAATGCGCCATAGCCGTTCGCGTAATAAATCAAGCGCTCCGTTTGATCTAACGAAGACGCACGCTAAGAGCTCGAACGGTGCGCGCGATTACCGGTCGTTTTACGCAGGACGTACGTACCCGTTCCGGCGCCAAGAACGTACTATAGGAAGGGAAGGGGGCGAATCCATATTTAAGGAATCGAGTGTATGCGAGATACACGTTTTAAATTTTTTCGATGTGCATCATTTTATAACGAAATCAAATTACGCGTGACTGTGAATACTGAATTGGGTTTTTTTCAGGGCCATACTTAGTAAAAAATCAAATAAAACACAAGCGTAACTTTCAAAACACAGACAGGTGTCAAGAACTACACAAAAGTCGATTCTAAGTGGATCTGGGCATAAGATTAAAAAAAACCCCCAAAAATTAAGGGTTCACCTGATTTGGATATTACCAACAATTTTACTTATAAATTTTGAGCCTGAATTTATGGAAAAAATTTGAGTCGCCCCCCCCCCTAGAAATAAGTCTAAATACGTCGCTGTCCCGATGTACCGAAGATTTCAACCTCAACCGGTACTGCGATAAACGGCCGCGTTCGAATCAAGCCAGCCGACTCTCGTACACATTACGCGCATCAGGTACTCGTGTACACATACATATATAATATACACACGTGCGTTCGATTGTTCGCAGCAGACTGCAGCAGTTAATAAACGACGCGGAATACGATAATATTCCGTTTAACTGCAGCAACAATTCGTATTGGGTTATATGCGTATACACATTTTAAAATACAAAACTGTTTTCTCACCACCCGCTATCGCGTTCGTATTGTCTCGGAAGAACCAAACGTTTGTTGCGTACACGTGTTGTATAATACTACACATTCACTAGTCCAGCAGCGAAATCACATTTCGCAGAGTACCGATTAAAAGTATAATAACTGATTAGCGTGTGATTGACTACAAACCGTGAATTCCGTTGTGTACGAACACATTTTGATACTTTGCGAGAACGGTGTTAAGGTACACCACTAAATCGAAAGCTACAAATATCAGTTTTCTAAACTGAACTAATCGAGTATTCCGTTATTATTATAATCGATGTCACGAAAATATTTGTACGACAAAGACTTGACTCCTAACCAAAATTTTATCATTTCAATCTTATTATTATGTACGCAGTTATGATCGCGTTCTAATAATTATCATATGATTCTCGACAACGATCGATGGCACATATGCCTGTATCGCCTATCTGCTATAAAAAATGTGTTTTCGGTTCGTCACAATGTTTCCCAATAGTTCAGCCGGCAAAAACGTGTAATTATACGAATAATAGAAATCAAACAAAAATTATTAAATACAATGATTACAATATATATATCATAACGATAACATTGTCGTCTTACGTACACTTTACATGTCGAATGTATACATCGATTACTGTGTAAAGAACTGTCCGTTGCCGCCGGTAGTTTGCTGTGGTGATTCACGCAATAAAAATAATAATAATAATAAAAGTATGCTCACAATCTCATCGTATATTGTTTGCGGTCGCACACACTTCACGCGCGCGCACACAATCGCCAGTGTATAGTAATATCGTTTCTTCATCAAACACACTCACGCGTCGTTTTCGTCCCCTTCGTTTTCACGAAAAGAAAACGACGACGACTCGATTGTTGGCCGTCGTCGTCCCCCTTTTTTTTTTTTCATTCACCGAAAATGATTATTATTGCCCGCAAAGCTGTCACCGTCGCCGGCCGCATTCTCTCTCCCTTACATAATATTCTTCGATTAATATTAAGGTGCATGAATCACCTACTTCGATCAGTCATCATTGCTTCTGCCACCGTCGCCGACAATAGAAGGGTCCCGGACGACGTGCTGCTGCTCTCGGGGAGGGTCGTCGTGAAATGGAGATTACAAACGCAACAGGGACGACGGGAGGCTGCTGCTACTGCATTGGTGACGACGACGGCGACTGAAAGTTTCATAATATACCGATGTCGATTTTACATTATATATGTATATATATATATATATATATATATTACTGTACACTGGAATCCCGTGTATTATCATATAGATTACATCTCTGTATACATCGTGGTGCACATAGCTAGGCGTCCCAAGAGAACCGGAAACGGAGATTATTTTTCTTTTTATAATAATAAAAAAACTTGTAAAGACCAGATACAGCAATATTAATATATATATATATATATCTATTTATGTAATATTTTCCTCTCTCTTCACAAAATATCTAAAGGCGGTGTGGCGGGTCAACGTGACATATTCCGTGTGCAGAAGATTTTTAAATTATAGCTTCCCCCTCTTCCCTTTGTAATGTATATTAGCTGTCCGCAATCGTATTTCTGCGGTACGCGTTATGTTTTATACGTATGTGCACGTGTATGGGTGTAATTAAAAATACGATTAATAACCCGGTTACCGCCGATGAAGAACCGCAGTCGAGGTGCGAACGCGCTATCCCAATATAGCCTTTTTACATTTTATTTGGGTACGCAAAGCAATTAAAAATTCCTGTTTCGCACTGATCTTTTGACGTTTTGCTGTGACTATACGATTTTTAGAACATTTCTTTCTCTTTTTGACGCACAATAGTTTTCGAGACCTTTAGAAGCACTTATTACACATATACGTACACATACACATGTGTATATATATATATGTAGTCACTTTGGTAGTATATACGTGACTTGACAACACAGTCGTGCGCAATAAACGAAAGTAAATTACGTTTTAGAAGCAGAAAATTACTGTTTTGTTATTTTGATGGTATATCGAATTTCAAGCTCTATATTCGTCAATAGTTTTTTTTCGGTTGAAAAGAATACACACATTTACGTCTTAAAATGTTGTCTGAGGAATTTTACCGTCATAACACGTCACCTGTGCGCAGTCGTGGGGTATACCGTGTACAAGATTATCGCGTCCAATTTGAATGTCATATACGTGACGTTTTTACAAAATATAGTTGACACGCCAATTTACTGTTTTTGGTCAGGGTCGACATCGGTGGTTTTAATATAGGTATGTTATATGCGCATAGTTGCTGGGAGTACAGATTTACATTTAAATTATCTCTTTGTGGTATTAATATTTCGACCGGAATAAATCATATTCGCGAGTGTTGTTGAAATTCAATTATTTAGTTATATTTTAGTCTTGCGTAACAGTTTTGATGTAAAGATATTCAGAACAATTGCAGCAACGTAAAATCATAAATATTAAATTTAATTAATAAAACAAATTTATTTGTATATTTTTTGTTATGTGTTGTTTGCCACTACTCATTGTGCAGTTATGTATTAAATGGGTTTTCATTTTTCATAATTGTACACCCTCCGGAATCGCTTTCATCCAGGTTTAAATAATGTTCGTTTCATTACTCCTGTGAAACGAGAAAAAAAAATACCCGGCACTTCGAAAATCCTGAGACTTTAGTGATGTAAAGTTAATTACCGGTAAACCTCGAGAGTAGAGCAGAGCAGGAACAGTCCCCGGAGATGCCCTTCGGCGACAACTAATGGAACGAACGAAAAACCTAATCAATTTAACGGGAAAATGGAGACTTTTTGCCTTTTTTCCTCTCTCGAACCCAAAGTACAAGTAAAAATACAATTCACTGTGAATAAAAATAAAAAAACATGATAGTCAATTTTACACAGCTCTTTTATTCTATTTGAAATTAACATCAGAATCCATTATAAGGTACAAACGAATGCCGTAATATATTACTTAAAACTTTTATTAAGTAAACATACGTTTTCTTCCCCGACTATGTGTGACACCAGTGACGGCGCCGGGATTTTTTGCTAGGTAGGACCAAAGGGAGGCCAACAATTATAAGGTAGGGTTACCAAAAATGAGATTTCAACAAAAGATAAATACTATTATTTAATATTTTCTATTTATGAAAAATGATTATATTATTATGTCTAAGGTAAGGTCAATGGTAGAGCCACCAGTAGAGTCAATTATTTTCAGGTAGGGCCATGGCCCGTTCCTGGCGCCGCCAATGTGTGACACTGAAAAAAAGTGTATAATTCATTAAAAAATTCGATATTTTTACGTGTATTTGAGATACATCTATTACTAACTTAATTTACATGTTCATATTTCTATTATTGCAGTGATCTAAGCCGTAATCGGTTGCTGTTCGTCGGGAAGAGCATGTTGAAAGGCGCTCAAGCCTTAAGAACTTTGTAAGTATTTGAAGAAAAAAAATTGAACCCCAACAGGTATTGAAACGTATTAGCTTTATGCAAGGGATTTAATTTCAATTTATGAGTTAGTTTTTCCCCTTTTAAAAAATAAAAACTTCAATCGTCAACTTAATTCTTTTGTATGCAAAAATTGTTTTTGTCATAGGAGGGAGGGTATTTCTTTCATATTTTTTAATCGATCACAGTGAAAATTTCTATGGAAAAAAATGTAAATAGCCTCCCCTACCGCCACAACCACCTTTAGTGAAAGGAAAAACTTTTTGATACACTATGCTTCGTTATTTCCTACTCATCCCCTCTATATCTCGTTCGCACTGTTCAATTTCAATATAAAGTTGCGAATAATGGTTTTTATTTTTCACAGTTGACAATGAGTCAAAAAAAAAAAAAAAAAAACGTTCAAATATTGATACCACCGTTTGTTTGTTCGCAGGCTAATGGACAGCAACCGTCTCCTGTGCATTGACGAACAAGCCATCAAAGGACTCAAAGACCTGGAAATACTGTAAGTATTGAAACAATTGATTCAAAATTACGAAGAGAAATATAACACACCTACAATCGTTATTAAATACACATTGTGTACATGTTTATTATTTCCCCCGCAGAACTCTGAACAACAACAATTTGACTACATTGCCCTCGGGACTATTTTCCGACCTTTACCGTCTGCGAAATGTCCGTCTGTCCGAAAACCGATTCCACTGCGATTGCAAGCTCGAATGGCTATACCAGCAGTGGTTACCTAGGATTCCTAGACTCGGATCGTCGACCCACTGTCACGGGCCGGCAAACATGGCTGGTTTGTCATTAGCCGATATGCACAAATACCACATGCAATGCGGTAATTATGAGATACTATGTTTAATTTAATGATTCCAATACGTTCCGTACACTGTTTATTTTACACGACGGAACGATATTTATTAAACAGCCGTACATTATTTCACACGCCAACTAATATTTAGGGCCCTAAAAATTGGTTTGTGTATAGTTTGAATTATAATCTCTTCAAAGTATGTTCCTTGCGACATAACTATAAAAGGGATGAGTCGTCGGTTGTGTAATGTAAACTTAAACCCGAGATGGATTAGATAACTCTGAGAATATTTTAGAAAGAATATCGTGTTATACATTTTTATATGGTATAAAAATCATAATAATTGGGCTTTTTCAACGTATTTCATTGTTTCTAACTATATTTATTATTACTTTATTTTTTAAGTTTTTTTTTTTTTTGTCAATAAAGTATATAATGAAATTTTCAAGCTAAGTAGTTAGTAAAAAATATTAAAAAAGAAAAAGAAAAAAAGAATCATTATATGGTTGATACATTTTTAGTACTTCATTTCTACAAAAACAGGCAAAATAAATATTTTAAAACGCTTTTCCATTTGAACATTTGTTTTCTGCATATTACTTATTTTGCGTAATTTCCGTCGATATTTCAAAACTGGATATTTTACCTGCCTCGGTTCAACAAGATGTGGTTTGATCGCGAATTTTTTAATTCAGTAAAAATTAAGTTATGATTAGTTAAAAATCACTTTTAAAATATATACTTAATATCTAACGATGATTTAAAAATAAAACTAATAATTCACTAATTTGTTTTTGAATATGAATTTCTGATATAACAAAGATTAATCGATTGAAAATTTTACGTATTAGTATATTTTGTTTCATGATTAAAATTAATCAATGCTCTGATATTTGCACTGTTCTAATAAATAAAATAATAAAAATAGACCAGTTATTAATTTTTTCTATATAAATATTAAATCATAGTTAAATTTGTTAACAATATAACTGTTATTTATTTTTTCGTTCACGTTACGATTGGACTATTATTCAAATAAAAACTTGGTACTTTTTATACTTTAATTTTTAAATCCAAAAAAAATTAATAAATAATTTATCAGATTCATTATATTATCCACTGCAGCACATTATTAGGACCACGCGCGTAATGATTAAAGTTTTATTATGCACCGCGCCATATAAAGCAATGCAGTCAAACTCACATATATATGTTTACGCGGTCGGTTGATTAACTATTGTACCGGACAATTATAGTATCTAGTCTACAGGGTCTCATTAGACTTATAAGGCTATTGTGACACTCTGGCTAATACAACGTAATTTACGATTATCTTAATTCGCAGACGGTGATTTCGACGGAGAAACGGTGGAATGTGGTCCTGGCATCGAAGACCAAAAGTCCTCGTGCCCGCACCCGTGTTCGTGCGAGGAGGGGGGTATCGTGAATTGCAGGGAGAAGTCGTTGACCAAGGTGCCGACAAAACTGCCGGAGGACATCGTAGAACTGTAAGAACGACAATTCCCCTCACACCCCTCCGACCTTACTTATATGATGATTTATTGTTAACCGTATTTGTCACTTTTTCGCAGGAGACTGGAGCAAAATCAAATAACCGAAATCCTACCCAAAGCATTCGTTAAATACAAACGTCTGCGGAGAATGTAAGTGTACTCATAATATACCAACTAGTATAAGACTGTAAACACAGGTCAACGATTTTGAAAACGTATCCTGTGGAAATACTGCACGGTAGTTCATAATCGTTTTTGATTTATTATTTTTATTATTAACATATACAAACCGATGAATAAATATTTTGATTAATTTAGCCACTTAAGTAATGATTGTGACGAGATAAATGACGTGTAAAATATATAATATATAATCCGATAACCATCGAATGCAGCGTGCAAAACTTACTGTATGTATTTTAATATTTAAATTTACTGACACTTAAGTAACAACCGGTTAATATGAATTTAAATGCGATCATTGATGAAATGTGTTTTTTTTTTATTTTAACACACAAAGATATGTAAAGATATTTAAAGATATCATTGGCTAATTTATTCAATAAATTTTCAATTGGTCTCCACATAACTGCGCATTTTATTTAACTAAATTATTGTTTTTCAAAATATAGGTTGCGTTCCTTTTATACCAATTATACAGAATTATACTAAACATAACCATTTGTAATCATTATTCACTTAATTTTCATCAAAAATCATTTATATTTATTTAGTTAATTTTTTCATAATATACTATATACATGGTGATTACTTTTTTTTACTGTATTTAAATATTTACATACTTGCATGTTACAGCGACCTCAGCAAAAACCAGATAACAAAAATATCAGTAGACGCCTTTCAAGGGCTCAAGTCATTAACATCTCTGTAAGTATATTTATACTAATACGCACGCATATGATTAACTATCCGAAACCTTTTTTTTTTTTCGTTCGTGGATCATAAAATAATTTTTACGACTCAGCTCCCTAGAAAATATCTTAACGTAGTGATGTTGAAGATTTTTTTTCTAGTTGCGCATTAGTCACCAATCAAATACCCGCACAGGAAATGTAGCGTATATAAAACATCATATTACACATACACGTGGGAAAATAACTGGTTTTGTTTTCACATATATCACGTAATAATCTACCGGTCGCGAAAAAATCGTTCACAATTTTTCTGGAAAAAAAATTAATGTTCACCGTTTTATTACCTTTGTTTTGTATCGATATGCGTCTACATTTATTTCTACCGGTGCAAATGGGGTTTTCAAAAAAACATTTTGAATGGTTTCCAAATCCGCCGTGAGCTTTTTTTTATACGCCAAAGGGTCGGTGCACTTGTTTAGTAGGTGGTCGTAAATACGCTAAAAGCCATTATCAATGACAATAACAGGCAATGTGTAATTTTGCCTTAGGCTTTTATCTCCAGACTTATTTATTTGCTCGTTGGCTAAAAAACAAAAATGTAAACGTTTATCTCATCTATATTATATGTAAATTAATAGTTGGATTATATATAACTGTAGATACTCGCGGCGTATAATTTATCGCAGATTTCGTTATAATTTAGTTTTCGTTAACGAAACGACAATGAGGTCTTCAGGACGTCTTATGCTAGTAGGTTATGTTCTAAAAAGATAATAAATATTTATTCAAGCTATCTAGTATCTGCGAAACATACTTAGATAGAACTTATGATCAGGTGCGAATATGTCTGTATTTATTATTGAAAGTTAATGTTTTAAACTCGATTCCAAATACGTGACACTATAACAGCAATATCATATGATTGTATACATATAGGTACACGTGTATGAAAAATATATTATAGGTTAGTATTGAAGTTGTGTTAAAAATATTAACCGAAATCGATAAAAAATAAAAAAATAAAAATGTATACTTTACAACTTTCTTGCGAGCTATAACTTTTCATATATAAAACCTTTATATTTTTATATTCTATACGGTGTATCTAACCTCTATTACATTATATACGGGCCGATATTCTGTGAACCACAGTATATTATTTTTATTATTCTGAAATCGAATTTTTCGTCGTAAAATTTGTATGAACGAGGAAGAAAATAATTTTATCAAACCGAATACCCAATAAGTGACAAAAATTGAATTTATATATAATTTTTTTTTTAAAGAATGCTCTACGGCAACAAAATCAAAGACTTGCCCGGTGGCGTGTTCCACGGTCTGACTTCATTGCAACTATTGTAAGTGTAAAAATAAAAAAATAAATAGCGAAAACAATAAAATCTGAAAACTATATAATATAACTTTCATGTTGTTATTATTATTTTTCTCTAGACTTCTGAACGCCAACGAAATATCGTGTATTCGAAGAGACGCTTTCAGAGATTTGCACAGCGTCAATTTACTGTGAGTAAAAACTTGACGGGTTTTTTTTTTTTTTTATTAATTTTTTCCCTTCGACTTTCTTTTATATACGTGTAAACGCGTATAATGAAAAAGAAAAAACCAAGTCAGGTACGGCGCAGATTGAATAAAATTGAAATGTAAAGATACACACGGATGCGTGCGCGAGTGGGGTATACGGGTTCGGATTACCTGTGAAAACAATCGCTTTCAGATTTCCAGGGCAAAGTTGAATATTCATGAATGTTTTCCGGCGCGTTCTCCGTAGTTTGTCTCATCATTCGATATTCAATATGGCCGTCGTTTTAATCCATCCGACACTTGTTTGATATTAAAAGCTTTTTCGCAGCGCGTCGCGCGCAACGCCAAACCATATCGGTATGCATTTATAATCGAATCGTAACCGAAATCGTCGACAATATTTTTACAGGTCACTGTACGATAACAACATCAAATCGTTAGCCAATGGAACGTTTGACTACATGAGGAGCATCCAAACACTGTGAGTAGTATACCGTGTTTATGTTTACTTAGCATAATTTATATTCGACCTTTTGCCTATAAATACACCACCGCATACTCCGGGATAATAAACCTTTACTCTTACGCATCACGATAGGGTCTACGGATCAGGTGCGATACTGCTGTGTGTATGTTGATATCTAGGCATTAATATTATATTTGAACGGAATGATTTTTGGAACGTAACAATTGCCACATAAATGAAAGTCTTAAGTTGGAATCACTATACACTCACATTTTCAATTGACAATTTTTTCCCGTTACCAAATGGCTTATACTACACATCATACACCCGTTTCATATGATTAATACTTCGTACAAAATATTCGGTAATAACTAGTTACTTACTGACGTAGTTACTTATGAATATATGCACAATGTAAAGTCTGCCGGTGAGTTGTTATATACTAATATACTGCTCCGACTGCCAGAACAATATATAAATAATTATGTTAGTACAAAAGCATATTAATAACTTTTGAGTTATTTATTATAACTTTAACCCTTTCTAACTGCACATTCAAACCTATTATAAATTAAAACATCTATTCAACATATCATTTTTTTCTGTAATTTCTTTTAAAATATGTTGGTACTCTTATGAACTTTGTAAGTTAAAATGTACCATGTTTAAATACAGTTAATTATTTTTTTGATTTGTGCATAATTGATTATTCCAATGCACTATTATTCTGTGATCCATGATATTAACCAAACCAATGACATTAAAAATTCGGGATATTAAACGAATAGTACGATATACCAATATTTGGTAGGTATGGTTTGTTTGTTTTTAAAAAGCTGGAGCGTTATATCTTTTAGGATGATGATTTAATATTTTTTTTCGGTAACCTTGTTCGAAAACATTTTTTTAGTTGTTAAGAAGTACCTATTGATATTTTTAAATAATTTCAACTAAATTAGTAGAATTTCGTAGTATCAAAATTTTATTTAACTGTTCCTTTAAAATAACATTTTTAAATGTCTTTGAGCTCTGAACGTCACAAAATAATATTGTTTGTACATGAAATTATTAAGACCATCATTCTGCATAAGTACGTTCTAAAAAATATTTCATGAATAAATTTGATTTTCATCAAATTAATTAATGTTAAAACTCTAAGGTTATTGAGAAAAACGAGGTGCAGTCTGTGAATACATCCAAGACTCGCTCTTCAGATTGTAAAAAGTAACAATCAAAATACCTCGGAATTGTTTTTTTTTCGACAATCTTATGCTAATCTCTCTTCGTTCCGTGGAAAAAATTAACAGTTGACATTTGCAGCCTTGATCCAAATTTATGCGGTCAAATATATTTTCTCACCAGAAAACTCAAAATAAACGACCAATTTAAAACGAAATTAATTCAAAAATGGCCGACCGTATTTCCATTTATTTCGAGATATTTGTGACCAAGAAAATAAAATCTACACTATTCAAAATGAACTAAACAGACATCGTTTGAGAGTGTATATAAGAGATTTTAGGTCTCGATTATATCAATTCACGATCATTTTTTTTAACGGATATTTGTTTCCGCTTTTCTTCGTCGGTACGTTTCCTGCGCATAACGAAAGACGTTCGTCATGAATATATTTGTGGTTTATTATTAGCATTGAAAAACTTTTTCGTACGAAAACTTCTTGAAAAATGTCTTTTTCTTTAGTTGTAAATAAAAACATCGTGAATTCTACCAGATGTGTCTTCCATTATTATTTCTGGACAGCCAGCCATCGCCATTGTTTGTGCATTGTTTACTTTGTGCTATTTGTCTTAATAGCCATCAAAACAATCATACTTCAAGGGGACCCATATATATATATATATATATGTGTGTGTGTGTGTGTACAAGAATTATTATACCCACGAATAAATAAAGTGAAAAATAAAAATGTATGGGATTTGTTTATTTATTATTTATTTCAGGCATTTGGGTAGAAATCCATTTAGCTGTGACTGTAACTTGCGTTGGTTATCAGACTATTTGCATAAAAATCCAATAGAAACATCCGCTGCTCGGTGTGAATCGCCGAAAAAGTTACAAAAGCGAAGAATAGATGGCTTGAGCAATGACAAATTCAAGTGTAAGTTATTATTTTTGAAAACCGTGAAATTACAATCACAAATCTTTCTTAAACATAGTAATGTGGAATGATAATTAATATCATATTTTTTTCATTTTATTAATATTATTATTATAATTTTAATCTATCTTAATTTAAATTCGTCATAAATATAGGTATATTTAACACTGAAATATAAATTACTTAGCACAAATACTTTTTTACGTGTTATAACTTCAACCAGAGAGAAAGAAATAAGTATACAATTATTTTCAGTTCAAGAATAATGAACGTATTGTAAATACATAAATACTACCTTCAAGTATACGTGCCATGTACACTAACCGTGTTCATGCTAAACGTACAATATATTTCAACATCGCATTAAATAGGCAGCTTAAACGTTAAACATATGCGTATAGGACAATAAATTACGTTTTATAAAGAATTTATAAATTATGAGTCTAATATTTAAATTATGCAATATTTGTAGAACAATAGTGAAATAATGAGAAGGTATTAAATATTTTTATTATAATTTACTGAAATGTTAATAAAGGTAATTTTTTAATAAAAAGTACATTATCTTGAATTACTCAATTTAAAAGAAAAATATGATTTTAATTCTCAAGATTTAATTTAAAGTATAGTAAAGGAGTATTAAAAAGTTTGTTCTGAAAATGAATGTATAATTTTTATATAAATTTTTTGTGTGAAATATATACTTTTTTTATTTTAATTTAAAGGTCACGAAATGAATACTTATTGTAAAACGTCTGTGTTACTAAATGAATATATTAAACATATTAATATTGTTTAATATGCCTTATTAATACTTATCAATACTATTTACAACATTATTTCGAATTAAAAATGTTTAAGAACGATACACATGTTTTGATAATATTCTTTCATCTTGCACATTTCAATATAATGATAATAATCTCGTTAACAGGCTTAGACGATATGAAGTCGAAATCCGGCGACTGTTTCTCGGACGTTCCGTGCCCGTCGAACTGTTCTTGCGACGGTACCGTGGTCGATTGTTCTGGAAGATTGTTAACTGAAATACCCAAAGACATACCGATTTACACCACCGAACTGTAAATTTAATAATACATAATATTAATTCGCTATAATAGTATTATATTTTCATTGATCTATTGATTTTTCCCAAGAATTTTGAACGATAACGAAATTGCAAAAATCAAATCCGATGGACTCTTCGGCCGTCTGCCTCATCTCCAGAAACTGGAAATGAAAAGAAATCTAATCAGTAGCATCGAAGCAAACGCCTTCGAAGGTGCCATCAAACTATATGAACTGTAAGGATAAAGTTATTAACAGTATTTTTGGTTCTACTATTTCAAGCCGTACTCATATGAATGTTATTGTATTTTTGTAGAAACTTATCGGAAAACAAGATTCGTCAAGTGCACAACAAAATGTTCATCGGTCCTCACAATCTAAAAATTTTGTATGTTGGAATCGAATTCGTGTGAAACAAAAAAATGTAATTAACACAATTAAATACTAATCGGTATTTGTTTACGGTTTTCAGAACTTTGTTGAACAACGAGATTACATGCGTTATGCCGGGATCTTTCGATTACCTACCAGCCCTCCGTACCCTGTAAGCTAACTAAGTTTTAATCGACCTTATATATTTTGTATGTTCATTCTATAATCATCGCGAACGCGTTATGTGCATGTGTTTTCAGTAACTTGCAAATGAACCCTTTCAATTGTAATTGTCATCTTGCTTGGTTTGCCGAATGGCTGAAAAAACACGGGCTAATAGCCGGAAGTCCCCGATGTGCCGGGCCCGCTCGTGTTATGGACGTTCCTATTCACGATTTGCCTTCGTACGAATTCAAATGCTCCGGTAATTATTATAAAATGTGTATTCACCAAGTGAATAGTGAAACGCATTAGATTCGGTAGAACGGTTAGAGGCGAAAAATCACGGTAATCGTTCATTTTCGAATGAATGTCTACGTGGATGGATAACCATTTTGAGGGACGTTGCGTATGCTGCTCTATTACACTGGTTATATCCGTAATTTATTGAAGTCAGGCTTAGCAAATTAACCGAAAAATCGTTTTCACAAATTTTCTATAATCCATAAGGCCTACGGCCATTTAATAATACGAATATGCTTTCTTCTAGAATATCGAAATTATGAAGAAGAAAAAAAACAATAAATGAATATTTTTTTAATTTAATTTTTTTTAATAAATACCAGGTGACAACGATCAGGGTTGTCTCGGTGATAACTACTGTCCTCCTAAATGCACGTGCATTGGAACAGTGGTCCGGTGTACGAGAGCGAAACTAACCGAGATACCCAAAAACGTTCCTGTCGAGACATCTGAACTGTAAGAATTATTAGTTAATTTTACAGCACGCTTTAACAATGTACCGTATATCATTTTCAGATATTTGGACGTAAATGAAATTACTTCGATTAAAGTAGATAGGCTGAATCATCTCAAATCGCTCACCAGGCTGTAAGTAAAATATAACTGCTGTGACTCTAGTATGTATTGTTAATAACACTTCATTTTTTTTTTTTTTAGAGATTTAAGTAACAATCAGTTAACAGTCTTGTCAAACAACACGTTCTCACAGTTATCTAAGCTTTCCACTTTGTAAGTCACAAAACAAAAATTAATTTAAAAAAATAAAAATTAATACAATCATATAGTTGGTATAACGTTTAAAATTACATTTTCAGACTATTAGGATACAACAAATTACAATGCCTTGAAAAGAACTCGCTATCTGGTCTGAAATCGTTGAGAATCATGTAAGTACCTTAAATGAATAAATATAAATATCGTGATATGCTATATAAATATTTAAATAATTTAAATGTTTTTAGTTCATTGCATGGAAATAATATCTCATTGATTCCTGACGGTACATTTTCGGGCCTAGATTCGATTACCCATTTGTAAGTGCATCGTAAAATTATTACAACCGCTACGTTTTTTGTATAATGTAAATAAAAATATATAATTGTTTTTATAAACCCGCAGAGGTATCGGTTCCAATCCGTTGTACTGTGACTGCGGTCTACAGTGGTTGGCGGAATGGATTAAAAAAGATTTCATCGAGTCGGGTATAGCTAGATGCGCCGAACCTATGTCCATGAAAGACAAACTCCTACTATCCACGCCGGTTTCTAGTTTCGTTTGCAAAGGTCGGTGAAATCACGTTATAATATTATAATAATATATGGTCATAGACATAAAGATAACATAGACACGATCGCTAACACAATGATCCCGTATGCCTTTAACAGAGCCGATCAGCAAAGAAATCCTGTCCAAGTGCAACACTTGTTACACCAACCCTTGTTCGAACGAAGGGTTCTGCGAACCTTTGCCGGAAAGACAGTACAAGTGTAGATGCAATCCCGGCTATCACGGTAAACATTGCGAAAACATGATTGACGCGTGTTACGGTAATCCGTGCAGAAACTCGGGGACTTGCAAACTACTCGAAGAAGGCAGATTCAGGTATTAAACGCACGCGTAAATCTCATTCGTCGGTGAACGTGAATAAAACTAAAAAATCTAACCTTGTGTTCTATACAGTTGCCAATGCGCACCTGGTTTTACCGGAGATCGTTGCGAAACGAATATCGACGACTGTTTAACCAACAAATGCGAAAACAACTCTACTTGTGTGGACTTGATACAAGCTTACGAATGTCGTTGCCTACCCGGTTACACGGGTATACAGATCGTTTATTTTGATTTTTAATACAAAAAAATGTTAACAGAAAAATAAATGTTAAAATGTATTGCAGGCGATTATTGTCAGACGAAAATCCATTTCTGTTCCAAAGATTTCAATCCGTGTCATAACGGAGCCAAATGCGTTGACCACACCACGCATTACACTTGTGAATGTCCACTAGGATTTTCAGGTGACAATTGCACGATAAACAATGATGACTGTCAGAATCACATGTGCCAGGTAAAATAAAATGCAATTTTTTTTTCTGTTCCCCTTTACAGCAGAATAATAACGATATCTTCTCGATTCTTTATTTTAAGAACGGCGGTCTGTGTGTGGACGGAATCAACGACTATTCGTGCAAATGTATCGGAGAATACACCGGAAAGTTCTGTGACATTTCCCCAAGCGTAGCGCTCATGTACCCGCAGACTTCACCCTGCCAACATCACGAATGCAAAAACGGAATATGTTATCAACCAAACGGTTCCACCAACGACTACTTATGTAAATGTGCTCCAGGGTACTCAGGTATACTTTTGTCCGCTCAGGTGTTCATTGTTTAACGCGTTGTACCGTTTCTGAAACATTCACTGTTTACTTGCAGGCAAACGATGTGAATATCTGACCAGCTTGAGTTTCGTACATAATACGTCGTTCGTTGAATTAGAACCGCTGAGAACCAAACCCGAAGCCAACGTGACCGTTGTGTTTACGACGACCCAAGAAAATGGAATTTTGCTGTACGACGGTCATTCGGAACACTTGGCCGTTGAATTATTCAACGGGCGTATTAGGGTCAGTTACGACGTGGGCAATTATCCCGTTTCAACGATGTATAGGTCAGTTATTCCACTCGTATTAGTCGCATTATTTCATCGCATACTCATGATTGACGTGTACTGTGTATTGTGTTGCTAGTTTCGAGATGGTCGCCGACGGCAAACAACACATGGTCGAACTTTTGGCGATCCGAAAAAATTTCACTCTGAGGGTCGACGGGGGCATGGCCAGGTCGATCATCAACGAAGGGTCCAGAGACTTCTTAAGGCTCACATCACCGTTGTACATCGGCGGCATACCCTCGGATCCTGGGGCCGAAGCCTTCAATCACTTCCATTTGAGAAACTTGACCAGTTTCAACGGTTAGTAAACGGTTTCCAAATTAATATACGCATGCGTATAACCATATGTCTTTTATAGGGTGCATGAAAGAGCTGTGGGTGAACCACAAGCTAGTGGACTTCATGAACGCGGCACGTCAGCAAAAAGTCACGCCCGGGTGTTCGCTGCTCCAGGACGAAGAGCAGATGGTGGAAGAAGAAGGGGTGAAGTCGCCGGACGTTGGGGAACCGGAGCAGAGTTCGACCATGGTGGACGAGGAACAGATGGAACCGCAAGAAGGTGTGATGGAAGAGGACGAGGACGACGAGGATGAGGACGAGGAAGAGGACGAGAACCCGTGCGCGAACAACCAGTGCCATAAGGGCAGCAAGTGCGAGCCCAAAGGGATCAGAGACTACGTGTGCAAGTGCCAGCCCGGTTGGTCGGGCAAGTACTGCACTCAAGGTGAGACCCGCTCCCCAATATACACACACTCCCTCCGTCAGTCCCTTGCTTCTCTTTTGCTAACTCGTGTTTCCGCTGCTGCCGCCAGGTCCCACGTGCAAGAAAGTGGCCGTGCGCGAGTACTACACGGAGAACAACTGCCGGTCGAGGAAGCCACTGAAAATGGCCAAGTGCGAGGGCGGCTGCGGGACGAGCTGTTGCCGGGCGCGGAAGACCAAAAAGCGGAAGGTACGCCTGATATGCAACGACGGCACGCGTTACACCAAGGACATCGAGATCATACGGAAGTGCGCGTGCGCCAAGAAATGCTATTGACTACCAGGCCCCTCCATGGACATGCCCCGACCTGTCGCACCTACACCGCCGCCAACGCCACTGCCGACACCATCGCCGCCCACCCAAGTGATCGTCGTACTGCCACACGTCTCCCGTGGAGCCGCTGATGGTGCCCGTCGGCCGCGCGCTCGACCCGATGGACGGCAGCAGCTCCGCGTCTGGACGGACGACTTGTTCTCGTACGTGACAGCGTACGCGGCCGTCTCCGTAGCCGTCGAGCTACTGATCGTCGTCATCTGGTCGATCAGCGTTTGTATATATCTTCTTCTGCCGTAACCACCCCTGCACCTTAGTAGTATTATCGTTATCGTTAATATAGTCGATTTCGTCGTCACTTATCGCCCAACCCTATTTTCATATTTCCAGCAATTTTACATTTTTTTTTTTTTACATTTTTTTTCCTATTTCAATCCATTTATACAATTATTACTATTATATAATAATTATAATTTTTTTTTTTTTAAGTACCTACCTACTAATTATAATTTATTTATTCGTATTTTTTTTTTTTTTTTAATTTTTTACGTAATTTATTAACGATTTATTTATATACTTAAATCCTGTCTATCCTCACTATCGCTATTTTTCTTTTGAACAACGAGACCCTATTCATAATAATATTATTATTACAATGATGATCACATATATACGTGTGCATACATTATAATTTTAATTTATTACATTCGATTTGACTATATTATATACCTGTATAATTAACTCTCACTTTATATAGTTAATGTAATAATATGTTAAATAATTATATTAAGTACATACACTTTTTGCCATTCGACGTCTAAAGTCATCAAAACACACTCACTGAACTCTATAGAACACGAGGTACTCATAATAGTATCCATATAATATTATATGTCTTATCATAAATACATAGTCGAAATTTGATAATCTTGTTAGTCATTGATAGTCGAGGAATAATAATTATAATAACTTAAAAACCCATTCTCTTACTTTATTTTTTTTTTTTCGTGTAAATAAAAAAGACGTATCTATTATAATAAATATTCTCTGGTGCATTGGTTAAAGCAAGAAGAAATTTATATACAACAAAATAATATAATTTGGAGCGTGTGTGCATGTGTGTACATTTCCGGAGCAAATAAAGCACATTTTTTTTCGTTTTGTGCGGAGGGGCCTTTTTCAATGTTTTTCATTTTATTTTTATACATCATCTTTTTGTATAGTGTACAAGTGTAGAGATCGTTAAAAAAATATATATATATTAAATAAAACAAAAAAATATAAAATAAAAAAAAAAAAACTATAAAATATATTATAACTATACCTAATTTAATGACCGTTATTGTGTTTAACCATATTTGTTTTGGAAAACAATTGATGAAACAATTTTTCTCTTTATATGTACTAAAAATATTAGTATAATATAATATTCATATATAAATATTTTGTGTAAATAGACCGGTTTTATTGTTTTCTTATTTATTTATTTTTTTTTTTTTTTATTCTTATTATTATAATTATTATTATTATTATTACTTATATTTTTTGGTTCAAAAATTGAATCAAATATATCGCAAAAAAATTTTAATTGTTCGGTATATATGTATAAATATAAAATTACAATCCTAAAAATTAAAATTCGTGGCCCGCATAAATAAGTTATATTATATTATATATGGAGCAAAATTAAAATGTGTGTGCAAAACTCATCGGAAAATATATTTCTGAAAACTATTGTTAAATCATATTTTTTTTTTTGGTCATCTGAAATTGTATGCATTATAAAATGTTATCTGTTTAACCGCTGCCATCGAGAAAATAATCAATTTAATTTATACACATTTCTTTAATAGATATCTCATTCCCTCCCTCAACTACATCAACTTAAAACTATGTACCACCTATTTATTTATAATAAGACTTGAATATACTATTTTTTTATGTAAACATTTTAAGTTAATTATATTTGGTACAATAATTTTTATTTTATGTTTCGAATAAGTTATATTTTTAAACAGAGTGTTTATTTACAATTTTCCCAATAAAACAATAGTGTTATATGTACATATATATATTAATTAGTTAACATTTTAACAATAATAGTATAGTATAATATTTCAGTGTTGTATAGAATTTCACAAACCTTAATATTAAGAACACATTAAATAATCACCAATAGCGGCTGCCATTTACCCACTCAACTATTTTTCCAACATTTCAATATAAATCTTCCATTTAATAATCTATAATTCATAATTTTTAAAAACAACCCTTAATAAATACTAGTACTACTACTACTACTACTACTACTATATTTGCTTTAGACTAATTATAATGCTTATGTTATAAATTTAAGTTCCAAATAAACACTATTGTATTTTACATTGATTTTATTGATGTTTTCCAAATTATTAATAAAATATGTTTAAAAAAAAAATTGAAAAATAGATGTATTTTCTAACACAATTGAACGAGTTATAATTGCAATTTATCAAACAAGCAAGAAGATGGAATTACAGACTCCGTCATAAAATAATAATATTAAAACATAACATAATATAATATAAGTAACTGACAATGTGTGATTAATCTTCTGTTACTTTTAAAGACATATTAATAAAAAATAGTTCTCATAAAAAATGATCCTTTTATATAATCTACATAAGCAGCAAAATTGACAATAAAAATTATGTTTGCTTGTAAAATATTATAAATCCAAGCAGTTCTGTATTATGTCATTAAATTAAACAATTTAAAATAAATCAATGTGATGAAATATGGCTGTTGTATTTAAACTCAATGTTGCTGATTCAAATATCAGTCGGTTTTGCAATTCAGGTGAGGGACGACAACTGAGAAAAGGAACCATCTCCAATACTTCTGAAGTCTACTAACCGGTTAGATCCACTGGATCATCAACAAAAATAATTGTAGAGACAAATTAGTTAAGTTGCTAATACCTTACATAAGATAAAAAAATAAACAGTTTATTTCATCAAATTAATATATGAATCAAATATATACAAAAAATGAGAACATCGTTTGCTAATAAAAACAAAAGTTTTCGCATATTTATTTTTATAAATATTAATTATATTAAATCACTAACCACAAGAATGTACCACACAAAGAAACATCAATAGTATTTAGGACGATTTATTTCATGAATTTGGAGAGAATAACTGTGTTACGTCTTTAATGAAGGAAAGCGGTGGCAATGATACTTTCGTTGGTGTATATGTAGAAGTATCAGAGAACTCCTGATTGAAAATCTCGGATTGTTCATCCAATGCCGGCGAGAGCACTGATTGGGAAATAGTTTTTTTTTTCTTATGGATTCATTAGACACATTAGCGCTTTTAATTTTAATTAAATTTTATGCGATTACCATGTTATTTACAATTTATTTACAAACTATGAATTTTACTGTATTATAAGTAATGGCCTAATTAATTTAAATACAATAATTGCACCCAGTGTCGGACTGGGTCGAAGAGGCCCAGTGCGCGATTTGGAAAAAAGGCCCTCAACAGGCAAATTTTTTTAATTATTCCCCCAAAAAAAAAAAGGAAAAAGTTGCTTCGTTTGAAATCCAATTTTCATGTATATAATACATTTTTTTGCAATAAATTACTTTTGAAAAAATCGATTGGATGGATTTCAATTATTTGGTAAAACATTAGTAACTTTTAAAATGTTAATGTAGCACGTTAACAAATTACAAGAAAATAGTGATGATATTAATTGGTAGATTTTTCTCGTTTCGAATGAGATTATGTCGTGGATAAAGATTGCCAATAATAATTATCAATAAGTATAATTATCAAACTGAGATATAGCATCACTTGATACACCTTTAAATACAATACGATTAAACTGGAAATCTGCTTTTGAAAAATTATGTTTATGTTCGTCTCAAAATGATATTCAATTTAAAATGAAATGAGACTTGATAAGGTCTTGATAAGTAATTAGTAATTACTAAGTATTGAATATTAAATACAATAAATAACAAAAAAAGCATAAAACTGTTTGAAAAAAAAGTATTTATTTTAATAAAATTAAAAAAAAACATGAACAAAAATTAACTTAAATTATATTAAATTATGATAAATAAATAAACTATCAAGTATATAGTTAAATTTTCAGATGTGAAACTGACTCTATTATCAGATAATGTGTTTTTATACATTGAAAACAAAAACTCAATATTCACTGAAGTGATTGGTGCATATTTCTCACAAGCAGTTTTTGTTTAAATAAAATTTATACTACTTAATCAATTTGATGAAACACTACGCAGTATGTTGTTAATTTCTTGTAATTGTTTTCAACCCTAATTTTTTGAAAAAAACATGATTTAACTTACCCAAAATTTCTAATAGTTGAAACGATCGGTATTATTGACGTAAATTAATAACCAACACTGAATTACAAGACAACCGAACTATAAGCCTGTAAATGAGTTGAATCAGTCAAGTCACCAATTAAAAATCTTAAATTATCGTCTTATCAATAAGTTCAGTGTAATACTGTCGCACGGTTAATACTTTAATATATAGATATATCATACTTTAAGTGATTACATTTCTTAGAATATTATTTTTATAAGTGTATATCTTATCATTATACACGTATACCAAATAACATTATAATGATTTTTAATTATAACTCGTTTACCATGCCACATTATAAAATTATATATTATATATTTATATTCTTCTTCTTTGGGTGCCTATCTGATTTGAATGTTGGCGACCTTTCCAGCAATGCTCTCTCTTTGGTTTATCGTTGCTTACAAATATAAATTAAATAATATTATATGCAGGGCCATCTTAGGGTATGCAGGGGCTCATGAAGCTTAGCTGACCTTCTAGTTATTAATTGTTGGATGTGCTAATATATGAATCACACTTCCAATTAAGGTTCATGATTTTGATTTAGGAAAAATGTATCTAATAAAAGCTATGCAAATGGCACCAAACGAAGTGGTGGTCTTAAATTCTAATGAAAAAGCTATTACACAATATAAACGTGTAGTAAGTAACAGTAGTAGTAATTTGATTAAATTTAAAATTATAATGTTAATTTATTTGTTATTTTTATTTATTTTTTTAAATTGTTGTCAAACAAGACGTATGAACACAAAAAAACTGCATTTAAACAATTTCAACTTTCATTCAAAAATAAAAAATCTAAAATAACTAAAAAATTAAGCTTTTTAGTGAATGATCATAAAAATGGTAAAGATCCTCTTCCCGATCTAATTATTATCCTTAATTAATCAAACGGTCGTGATAAAGTGATAATTATGGCTCAGATTTGTTCATATATAATTTTATTTGCAAATAATGTAAGAGCTGGAGTTGAACAGTTCATGGTGTTACTTGAAGAACCAAAAATTATGAATGATCATTTAATTATCGTAAGCTTATCCCATTTTAAATATTAAAAAG